ATCTGACCACAATTATTCTAATTATTATTCTATAGAACCTACCTGTCCCACCAGTTCTTCCAGTCTGGGAACTGGTTTTCCCTTCTGATGTCTCTCTGTGGGAGGAGACTGGCCGTCCCAGTCCCTCAGCTCCAGGCTTTTCAGGTACAACAAGGCCTTCAGACCTGCAAACACATATCCACCATTATGCTATTATTATATCATTTCATTGTCTCAAAGCTGAAGCATTAAGGTTCACTGCCTGGAGAATGTTTATGTTGGTGGTTAACTCTCCAGACTTGATAAAAAGGTACGATTGGAAAAGCTCTTTGTTAGTGAGGTGGTAGTTACTATAGTAACTTTATTTACACCAGTAGGAGTTTTCAGTCTCTTAAGTCAATGCTGACTTTAGTTCAAAAATAATGTAGCGTACATCCTGTTGAGATAACAAGGCACGAATAAACCAGCCTCTGGATCATTGTTGTAAACTAGCAATAATACATCTCAATGCTCAGTGCATGCCTTCGATTGAAATACAACACATGCAGAAACAGTTACATACCCACACAGTAATCCTCAATGACTGTGAAGTCCTGGTTCTGGACTGCACTGCACACCTGTGGGAGTCAAACACAGGGAGAAAATCAGACAAAACCAGAGGGAGGAACACTTAGATTTGCAGAATTTCTCTCTTTAAAGACTTAATAACTGTTTCCACCATGTGAAAACGGTATGTGGTGAAAAGTAAAAAAATGCATACAGTAGTGAAGAGTAAGGGGATTCAGAATAAAGCCATTTTACAATATGTAATTAAACCATGAACTGCATCATAGGAACAGTAACATGTATTCATTCATTTCTCACCTGTAACACTGAGGCTCCGGCGTGGAGGAACTGTAGTCCGCTCTCTGCAGAGTCGATGCCTCCCGTGGCCAGGATGGGGAAACCAGGGAGGGCTCTGGCGATGGCGGACACCGCCCTGAGAGCGATGGGTCTGATGGCATTACCTGCACACAGTGTTCTGATCAGGGAGGGCTTGGGAGAAGTCAATGTTTAGAAGAGGAACACACATGCCCTAGAAGTAGCATTCTATAACTACACCCGTCTACACATCAACACATCCGCCTCGTTTGGCTCTGATTTCACATCCATCCTCCCTTTCCTCTCCAATTATACATTCCCCTTCCTACCTCATCCTTTCCCTACATCCTCCATCCCTTCCTCCATCCCTTCAACCATCCCTCCCTTCCTACATCCTTTCATCCCTCCTTTCCTTTATTAATGTATTCATTAATAAAGGAATGAATTCATCCCTCCCTCCTTACGTCCCTGCCCATTCATCCCTTCCTTCAATCATACATTTATCCCCCCCTACATCCCTCTGACCATTTATCCCTCCCCCTACACCGCTTCCTCCTTTTATTGCTTCATCCATTAATCCTTTCCTGCATATATCCATTCATCCCCTCATCCTTCTTCCCTTGACATTCAGTATCTCCTGTAAATAAATGGTTATCTGACATATTGTATGTGTTTGTATGTTTGTGTGTATCCTCACCAGACACCCCTCCATACGTGGTGCGTTTGCCCTTTCCAACCGCCGGCCAGGGGGAGGCGTCAGCCTTCAGTCCCATCATACCTGAGACTGTGTTGGTGGCTGTCACTCCATCTGCTCCACCTAGAAAATATCAACAGTACATAAATTGCCGAATGTAAAGGATTTGGAGGGAATAAATATTGAGTGTGGTGTGATGAAGCGTGTTTACCTTCATGAGCAGCCTTGGCGATGTCGACAATGTTGGTGACGTTTGGTGTCAGTTTGGCGAAGAACGGAATGGTAACGGCCGCACGCACCCAGTGACAGATGTTACGCACCATCACCGGGTCCTAATGACAAACACATAGAAACACAGGCATCATCTTCTACGTACTTCCATTTACAAAATAAAAAATGGCCAGTAGACATTGTGCTTCACAGATATGGAGCTCCAAAGTACACACATTTGTGTACTTTGCTGCACTTAAACTCAATCTATAAGCATATATTGCCGGTCAGAATTGCATTTGTGTAACATTGTGTGTGTGTCTCTGTGTGTGTTTGTGTGTGTGTGTGTGTGTGTGTGTGTGTGTGTGTGTGTGTGTGTGTGTGTGTGTGTGTGTGTGTGTGTGTGTACCTGTCCACAGGCCAGTCCCATGCCTCTCTCTCCCATCCCATGAGGACAGGACAGGTTCAGCTCCAAAGCATCTGCTCCAGAATCCTACACACACATTTTTATATTTCAGATCATCACACACAGTTTTGTACGTACATTTACTGATTACAAAATAGTTATACTGTGTACATTCTGTAACTGTGTGTGTGATTTTTGTTCACCTCTGCCATTATGGCTATTTCTGTCCAGTCTTCCTTGTTGTAACTGCACATAATGCTGGAGATCACCACCTGATAAAGAGGAAAGGTTGACACAGTTCAACAGATCTATCAACACGTGTTTGTAGGTAGATGTGCATCTGGTTTAGCAATGACAACATCATAATATTAATAAACTTTAATCATATAGCACATTTCAAAACATAGTTACAAAGTGCCTTCACATAAAACAGAACACTGGTTATAGACTGGGACAGAGAACCAAGACTGTTGGAAATTTGGGGGACGAAAGTATCAACTTGACCTATAATAATTTGTTTCGTTTTATAGGCATTTAGCTGCAGGAAATGTTGTGACATTAGCGGATGTCCTGAAGGCAGATGAGGAGATTAACAGTATAAAGGGAATGGTTTGCAGGGACGCAGCTTAAATAAATCTGGGTATCACCTGCATAAAAATGGAAACTGATGTTGTGCTTACGATGATGTGGTCATGGGGGAGCATGTAAAAAAGAGAACTGGACCCAGCACCAATCCTTGGGGTACCCCACAATGACTACCTGTTGCAGCTGATGTGGCATTGGCAAAAAACATTGTAGAGCCTGCCAGTAATAACCACCCAGGTCTCAAAGCAGTTCAAAAGGGTTTCATTATCTACGGTATCAAATGCGGCTCTTAAATCAAGTAAAACCAGGACTATAATAAGTTAAAGCTTTAAGAAGAGCTGTTTCAGTAATATGGTGTTTTCTAAATGTTTTCAAACAAATATTTAAGCATCATGTTTTTAGTAAAGTAGAATCAAGGCAGAACTTTGTCCATAAAGAAATATCATGACTTGAAGGGAAACTGACGTTATTGGGGAAGTCCTTCTTCAGCTCGGCCACTGACTGGCACCAGTAGGCGGCGGTCTTCTCACTGATGAGCTCAATGTTGAGGAAGGAGCCCTGGCCGGGTCCGAACATATGTCCTGAGGTGGTGCCACGTACAATACGAGGGGACACGTTGGTCACCAGATCCTGCAGACATAGATGTATACAAATGAATCATAGCGTATCTTTTTTTGTGCTGTGATATTACATCTAGTTTCCTATCGAGTCATTGTGCAAGTTTCCATTAATGGCAACATCAGAATCCCATAAACATCAGCTGAAACAAACTCCTTTAACTTTAAATAATTTCAACAGTTCCAATAATACTTTTGAGCTTGAAATCAACTGGCAACAATTCTAATAGTCAATTTATTATTTTGACGATTATTTTCAGCAAACATGGCAATAAATCACTGTAACCAGGTTCTCAAATATGATTACTTGTTGGTTGGATTGTGTATTTTTTCTCGCTTTTAATTGTTTTATCATAGTAAAGTAAAAATATGTAGGTTTTGACTGTTGGTTGGACAACATATGCAATATGGATTGGGCTAAACTGGGTTTCACGTAACTCTAATGCAATATTTTTCAGACCTTTACCAGACTACACGATTAATCAAGAAAATGACTGATCAACTATGAAAAACTATTATTGATTGCAGCCTTTTATTTTGGCTGCTTTTATTTAGATGTAACTATCTGTGCTAGTTTTCAAATAGTGTATTTTAAACATACCTTGAAACTAAATAAACCTGGGTCAAACTGAATAAGCCTCATGTGAAAATGGTCACAGTAAAATGTGTACAGGCTGTGTGAGTGGGTTCCAGAAGGCTCCGGTTCTGGCCACATTCCAATGTTGCAAGGTTGTTATGTACACTGTACCTTGTTCAGTCCAAAGGTCTTGGTCAGAGCGAAGCCCCATCCCTGTTCAAAAGCTCTTCTGATCATAGCGGTGCTGGTGGTTGGGGGGGCAGACGCCAGGCCAAACGGGTTGGGGAAATGTATTCCACAAAGCTCCACGCTGATGTCCACCTGATCTATAGCACTGAAGAACAGTGGCAGCTTGGGAACCGGGTCCACTGAGTGTCCATGCTGAGACTGCAGGAGGGGGGGAGATTTGACATTTGAGCTACATCATTAGTTTACATTTATGGAGGCAGGCCTGAGTAAAAAACATCATCATGTACTCTTGTTAAGGACAATGTCCCATTAGTGTGCTGCATGTGTGCTGCATTCATGATCTTCTGAACATACCGAAAATATGAAACATTTAAGAGTCATGAACTACGTTGACAGTAAAACGTAAATTGTAGTAATGTGTTTTTATTACATGTAAAGCACTTTGGCTCGACCAAAAATCGCTTTTGAATGTGCTTTATAAATAAAACTTGATTTGATTTTGATTAAATCAAACGAGAGGAGAATGCGATATAGATTTGGAAAAAGTGGTGAAAAATGTGCATGGTTGAACTTTTTTTGCAGCAAAGCCCTGCATTTGGAGCCAAGCTGTGTTCACTTACACGATACATGCCAATTTGAAGAAATTGCAAATACAAAAAAGTTATAGGGCTAACTTGAACATACCACAGATATATACAATCAAAGGTGAGGTTCAAATGTCAGGTACACCTCTTCACACAGAGTTACTTAGCTGACTTTTACAATAAAATGAGATAAAGGTCTGAAGACAATGATATGGACTATTTGAGTTTAAATTCAGTTATAACCTCGGTGGGCGAGCTCAAGTTAGGACTTCTTAACCTGTTAAGCCCCGAGCCTGTTTTTCAGGTTTCAGGCTCGAAAATGACATGCCCAAAATAAATGACTACAACTTAACTTCTAAAAGGGTTATATAAATAATTCCTTTTATCAAAGCAAGGTTACACCTGTGAGTTGGATGTAGAAGTGTCAGAATCAATATAGATTTTTCTCAGTCAGAGTAAATTCAGATGGAACATAGCAAAAAAAGTTAAATTCTTACCTCCGCCTAAAAAAAACCCATTACTTATAGTGAAAACCACCCTTGAATGATGGGATGGTAGACTAAAAGCTTTAGGAATCCAAACTATAACATATAATAAGTACCCTGTATCAAGATTGAGGCAAAACAAGTGAAATTTGACCTTTTTAGAGAGGTTTAGCAAAAAAAGGTTCCAGGCGGAATAAGCTTTCGGCACATTTGGGTACATCTGGTTCCATCAGTGCCATTTGGCCTTTTTCAGGTACCAGACTATAAAAATGGTGTATTACATTGAATTATCACCATAGGTATTCATTCAATTTTTTTTTTTTTTATTTGTGAAAAAAAAAAAGGACCCGCCGACGGGGTCTTTGGGGCTTAACGGTTAAGACTGAACTACAAATCCCAACCAAGATGACATATACTGTCTTAGCTTCTTGTCACAAACTGTATTTACTATTTACTTGCACTATTTTGTTGTGTTTATCTGTTTTATTGTGTTGCACTGTTGGAGGAGCCTGTGACCTAAGATTTTCATCGTCATAACTACACTGTAGCTATGTTCGTATTACCAATAAAAGCCTTGAAACCTTGAGTGTTAAAGCCGAGACATTTTACCTGCATGTATCTGTGGATGTGCCATGAAGCCTGTTTGCCATCGTTCGTTGATTCCACCGTGGTGTTGGCCAAACCGGCGATGTCTCCTCCTGCAAACACCCAGGGCTCGCTGGTCTGCATGGTGTCCGTGTTCACCTCCGGAGTCCCCCAGCGTGTCATCTTCACGGGAGCCATGGCCTCCTTCACTACACACAGACAAGATATAGATCAAGTTATGTATGCATTTGAGTTATGCATCGATCGGCAACACATCTGAAGACTCAACACTGAGAAAGACTACATTTCTTATTTTATGTAAAACTGCAAATATAAATAAAATATAGGACCATTTCCATAGTCACACTTAAAGACCAAGAGTTAACATATTAGTTGATTGCATAAATGAAAATCAACATTTTGATTATGTATGATGATTTTGGAATGATGAAGATCTCTGGCAAACACACATTTATGATACTAACACGTTTTGTTCAGATGGTGATCTCCAGACATTCACACCACTTTATGATTTTTTAAGCATAAATATAATTGGCAGAAGTAAAAAGCTAACGTTAGGCTATAAACAAACTATATCTCACATTGCTGTGTTATTTTAGGCACCTAAACTAAATGACGTTAAAAAAAAACTTACTTTGCATCAAGGTATTCCAATCACTTGTATAACTCTTATTGCACTATTTCACTATTTTCTTTTTTATATTTACGTGCACAATTTTTTTCAGTTTTTCAGTTTTATTGTGTTGCACTGTTGGTTTAACCTGTGACCTAAGATTTTCATCGTCATAACTACACTGTAGCTATGTACGTATGAATAATAAAAGCCTTGAACCTTGAACCTTGAGGTAACTGGAAGTGCTAAAATGCTAACAGATTTTCAACTTTTAGGATTAATTCCTGCGCACATTATATTAATCAAATTACAATTTGAATACAAAACACACACAAGAGAGAGCAACATTTATAAACATCTTATGATTCATTTTCAACACTTATTTTATTTAGCAAAAATGCTAAACTGCTGATCAGTCTGTGTGTTGCAGCTGATTGGTCGGTTACCTTGCGGCTCGTTGAGCATGGAACCAAAGGCACTGATGATGTAATCAGCCTTCAGCCTGACAATTTGCTCCTCGTCTTCCAGCCAATCACCTTCCTCAGTCTGCTCCGTGCGACATAACTGTAGCCCGGCAACACGACCGTTCTTCATGATGACCTCCCGAGGAGACAGGAAGGGCAGGAACTCACACTTCTCCTCCTTCGCCAACTCCATCTGACAGAGAACATGTGCTCAGTATTCTCATCAGTCTGTTTGCAGCTCATAGAGTCCTGTTGTGGACCCAGAAATGTTGAGTACCCCAAAGTATATGATAGAAATGTACATAGGGGTCCCAAGCACATAGAAACTGCCGGATGCAAAGTTGCATATGTTGGGCAATTTGCACATTTAGCACAAGTTGCGTTAATTAGCATTATAGCTTATGCAGACAATAATAAAAAAAATGGCTTGGCAGATTTTGACAGTTTTGGAATGGTTTTGGGGGTTATTGAGGATGCTGAATGCATTTCTGGCATTCTCGGGATCCATAATGGCAGTTTTTACCAGAATGTGGCCATATTTGTACTCTCTGTGGGCTGATTTGATTCATTTTTGGTCGGTTTTGCAGTTTTAGGGGACTGACTCAGAAATTGATTTAGCATCCTCTATAACCCCCAAAACCAAATCAGCCAAGTCATAAGTTGCGCTAATTAACATACCTTATGCTATCTGTGCAAATTGCCCAACATATGCAAGTTATCATCCGACAGTTTTTATGTGCCAGGAACCCTTACTATACATTTCTAACATAAAACTATGGAGTACTCAACATTTCCCGGTTCACAGTGCTGGCAACTAGACTAATATGTTTCCATTTGATTAGCTATCCATCCATCCCCCCTACCTCCTCAGGGACGGCCCTGATGTTAGTGAATCCCTTCCTGAAGCACACAAACACTCTCCTGGCTCCACAGCGGAGGGCCGAGGTGGCACAGTCAAATGCAGTGTCCCCGGCCCCGAGGACGATCACCACTCCTCTCAACTCTGGCAGAGAGGAGCGACACTGACACATGCCTGCAGGGAACCAGACAGAGAGACAGGGGAATGGGAGTTATCACAGATTTAACTCTTTAACTTAACTCTGTTTTCTGGATGAAGTGTGGATGTTTCTTTTAGAATGGATAATATGGATATTTTGAAGCCAATACTGGCGATACCTTCTCCCTATGGATGATAGCTATTATGATTTGTAATTAAAAATATGTTTCTAACCTGTAGTTTAAGAGGGTTGAACAGACTTAAATGTGGTCATCAAATAAGAATAATGTAATATTCCATGACATGACCTAACCTAAATGTCCCTGCTGTTGGACTAATAAAGCATCTCTGAATCTGATTCTGATCCAAAGAAAATATTTTTGGAATCTTCGAATGTTAAAGGTCCCATGTCATGGCCATTTCTACTGATCATAATTCCATTGTTCAAATCAAATCAAATCAAATCAAATCAAGGTTTATTTATAAAGCACATTTAAAAGCGATTTTTTGGTCGGGCCAAAGTGCTGTACATGTAATAACTACAATCACATAAAAACACATTTCTATAATCACAATAAAAGACAATAAATTACAACAGATATTTAAAAAGAAAACACAGGGAAAAGTCAGGAGTCGTGCTCCGCTCTGACTAAAAGGCCAGGGAGAAGAAGTGTGTCTTAAGAGTAGATTTAAAAACCCCTAGGGTCTGGGCCGACCTCACATGGAGGGGCAGAGTGTTCCAGAGCCTCGGGCCAGCTGCTGCGAAGGCTCGGTGCCCTCGGGTTTTGAGCCTGGTCTTGGGCACTACCAGCAGCAGCTGGTCAGCAGACCTTAAAGCTCTTGTTGGGGTGTAGCGCTGGAGGAGTTCAGCTATATAGGCCGGAGCCAGCCCATTTAGTGCTTTAAAAACAAATAAAAGGAGTTTAAAATCAATTCGGAACCGAATTGGAAGCCAGAATTGGGGTGATGTGGTCACGCTTTTTGTGGCCAGTGAGTAGACGTGCAGCTGCGTTCTGGACTAGCTGCAGGCGTTTAATTGACGCCTGGTCCATACCCACGTACAGAGCGTTGCAGTAATCCAACCTTGAGGTAACAAAGGCATTAATAACCCTTTCCAGGTCCTCAAACGATAAAAACGACTTAGTCTTGGCCAATAGTCGTATTTAAAAAAAGCAGGTTTTGACTACGCTGCTGACCTGCTTATCAAATTTAAAAGCGCTAGTGAAGGTCACTCCAAGGTTCATGACAGAGGAGAGGATGTTTTTATTGAGGGAGCCCAGAATATCAACCTGGGAGGCTGGAGGTTGGGGTCCAAAAAAGATAACCTCAGTCTTGCTCTCATTGAGGTTGAGGAAATGTTGGCTCAGCCAGGATTTGATCTCTGCTAAGCAGTCCATCAATAGCTGTAATGAGTTAACATTTGAATTGAGTGGCAGATAGATCTGTACATCGTCGGCGTAGCAGTGGAAGGGGATGTTGTGTTTAGTGAGAATTGAACCTAGGGGCAGTATGTACAGTAGAAAAAGAATGGGGCCCAAAATCGAGCCTTGGGGAACCCCACAGGTAAGAGGGGCTTTGGCAGAGGAGAAGGCACCTAGCTGCACTGAGAAGCTACGGTCTGTCAGGTAGGACCTGAACCATGCAAGGGCAGAGCCTGTGATGCCAGCGGACTGTTCAAGCCGTGACAGCAGGATGCTATGGTCCACAGTGTCAAAGGCAGCTGTCAGGTCTAACAGCACCAAGACAGCGGAGCTACCTGAGTCGGCGGCTAGGAGCAGATCATTAAAAACTCTTAAAAGGGTTGTTTCAGTGCTGTGCATGGGTTTGAAGCCAGACTGAAACTTTTCATGGATTCCATGCGTGGTTAAAAAAGACTGCAGCTGGGCGTAGACTACTCGCTCCAGGGCTTTGGATAAAAAAGGTAGCTGGGAGAAGGGCCTAAAATTTGCGAGAATGGAAGGGTCGAGATTTTTCTTTTTAAGGAGTGGCTTAACCACGGCATGTTTGAAGGCAGCTGGGACACATCCTGAGCTAAGAGAGGTATTTATAAGTAATAAAATACTTGCTCCAACTGATCCTAAAACATCTCTGAGAAGGCGAGAGGGAATGCTGTCTGAGGTGCAGTTTGTCGGCCGCAGGTGCTTGACTACATCCAAGAGAGAAGAGAGGGATACAGGCTCAAAGTGGTCGAGGACAGCAGGGCACAGAAAAGGAGCAGGATCTGGGGTAGCACTAGTGTGGGCTAGCCTAAGAGCAGATACTTTTTCAATAAAAAATGTAAGAAACTTTTCACAGAGAGCAGTCAATCGTATTGTATTGTATTGTTGAGGTATACTAGAATAGATTTATATTGTGCAATTTTCCAAACTCACATTGGTTTCTCATACAGCATCTCTGTAAACTACGTGTATTCACTCTCTGTATTAAACGGCTTGTTGGAGCTCCTGCCCCCCCCTCCCTATGAGCCCAGTGGCCGTCTGCGAGACAGCGAAACCCAGCCCGAAACCAGCCCGAACACACACACACACCCACAGCCTGGCTGGGAGTTTGTGTGTGTGCTAACACACCGACTCACAGCCTCGCCGCGTACCGCCGTCTCAGGGAGGAGAAATCGGAGGAGCTGCAGCTGAGAAAATATTAACCTAACGGCTCCGCGGACGTAACGTGACGGCTCCACGGATTGGTCCATTTGGGTATGGGCACGTCACTGTACCCAGGAAGAAAACAATGGAAAAAGAGAAATCTCCAACGAGGCGTTCTGGGGCAGCATAGACAGGTATTTTCTGTGTTAGAGTTTTACTCGCTACAGGGTGTACTTTGAGGGTTTGTGACTCTGCAGACCGTTTACATGCAGAAAAAGCTACATAACACACAAGGGGACGGGTAATAACCGGAAAAGCATGACATGGGACTTTTAATTTACCTGAAAAACTTGTTAGCAGAAATGTTGTCTCCCCTGGGTTTATATGGCATTTTGAAGTGAAATAAATGTGTCTTGCTATACCGCTGATAATTATTAAGCCATACTTCATTATCTTGATAATACATAATAATATAATATACATATTGGTTGATATATTTCAACCCAGTCTCACGGCATTTCGTGTTATAGTCACGACATTTAATCTATTGATTCGTGTTCCCCAACACGATTTTCCCCTTTCTTTCGTGTCACACAGAACGATTTTAAAAGCAATGTATTTCTATTGGTAGTATGTTTCGTGCCTGCACCACGTCTTTTTGTCCGGTCGGGTCTTGGAAGACCGGAAGCTGTGGGGTTCATTAAAAACACGTTCTTACTCAATATCAAGCCACGATTATTGTTTTTATTTTAAATCGTATAATGTCGGACTTTTTTTGCCGTCCGCAAGGAAAATAAATGGGGCTCAGAGCCTCAGAATCTTTTTTTCCTTCTAATTTGTTATTCTTTTCTAAATAACACACTGTTATTTACTCAATAACACACAATTATCCTTGTTTTTATTTATTTGTTTAATTCTATAATCTCTGGCTTTTTTGCCGTCCGTCAGGAAGTGAATTTCAAAATAAAGTAACAGGAAACAGACGTAGGCCTATAAGGGACATTTCGAGCATCATTGCGATACACACCCACTGAACTGATTACCCAAGATCCTCAGCTATGGTTTAAGCTCTGTGATTGGATGTTTTAGCCGCAATGCACGTTGGGATATGGTGTTTATGCGATATGAAATCCGAAAAACATATCGGAGTTTAGGATGGCCGAAGACATTACACTACCCATAATCCTCAGCTATCGTTTGGGAGTACAGTCCCTTTGCTTGAAAAACCCCATGAATAATCTTCAAGCTCTGGGATTGGATGTTGGAGTGGCAGTGTGCCAAGGTTACGCCGAGCGTCAAACAGCTCTTTGAAATGGAACGAAACCACGGCAGACTATCCAAAACTGGACTCAAACGTCCTCCCCCCCCAGAACTACACATGCTGGTTATTGTGTTTCGCAAAATGTTCTATGGGACGTCTCTACTGGGAACGTTTTTGTTTTCCCCACAATTAGAAGTTGCCAGTATTAAACACATTGGTTTTATCAAATTTAAAACATATAATTAATAAATGGGTGAAAATTGCTTGTGTCTATAATGGGCAGCATTAGTATATACCCACATGCCAGCTCATTGTTACTTTGTAATTCTACTCCACTACAATTCAGAGGTTAACCTGGTATTTCTACTCCACTACATTTATTTTAGTTACTTTGCAGATTCTGATTAATGATGTGAAATATAAACGACCCTTAAATCAGACTTTAGTTACACCTGAGTAAAATTCAGGGAAGGTGATTGTCAAGTGCCAACAATCAGGAGAGATATTTGGTAGTGGGTGCTTGAGAAGACTAAACATTTATCTGCAGATCCCTATAAAGCATATTCATTACTCGTTATTCTCTACTAATAGTTAATTAAAAACTGTATATAATGGCTATTTTGCACATCCCTTTCAAGATTTCAAGATTTTCTAAGGTTTATTGACATATCATATACACAACTACGTTGAAGTTATGCAATGAATGAAAAACTTGGGTCACAGGTTCCTCAACAGTGCATTACAAGACATCTATCAATATGTGTGTACCTCCACCATTAAACTGTCATATTCTGCACATTTCTTATTCTATCTACATACATAAGAGTATAATTAATGTGTATAATATCAGTTAAAATAAGTGCTTCAACATAGTTAACATTGCAGGAAAGCAATATATTAGACGTGAAGTACTTTGACAGGCTTAATATTTATCTGTAGATACCCCCAAAGCTTTTTTCTTATTTAAAAGAAGACCTTAACCTAAAGTATTCTTTAATGTGTTAATAAAGGTTAATTCGTTTTTCTGTTTTGCACATCCTCCTATTAATATCTTTGTACATCCAGCACTAAACTGTTTTATTGTAGAGATCACTTTCAGTATCTTCTTGATTTTTTATATTCTATATTTCTATCATTGACCTTCTACTTTCCCCCTATTTTGTATGTACTCTTAATATTTTTTTCATCAAATATAACATATTAAAAAAAGAATTCAATAACGTGCTTTAACCACTAGGCGGTGCACACAAGGTACACACAGCATACAATGCCATAATAACTTTTTATTATTAGTGTAGGACACTTATGTATGTATCAGGGTTTCCGTTAGCCGGTCATTACCGTTTTTTAGCTGGTAACATTTATTAAAAACCGGTAAATTCAATACCTGCCGGTCAAAATGTCTGGTAATAATTAGGGATGCTCCGATCGATCGGCCGCCGGTCATTATCGGCCGATATTCACTCTTAATAGTTTGATCGGTGCTCTCTATAAAGGCCGATCAGGAGAGCTGGATCTGATCGATATGGACATAAACGCGAGGGAAGTATAACCGGACGCGAGAGAGAGATCAGATCAGCTGCTGCATAATCACCTGAAGCCCCGCCCACTGTTTAGCGTGCTGCATGAGAAACTGACGGGCTGTCAGGAGAGAGAGAGAGGAAAAGAGAGGATCCGTTTCTCCCGTGTTATTATTTAAAGTTAATGTAAACTTTTGAATAATGTACTTCATCTACTACAAGTAGTTTGTTTGAATGTAATAATTATGTTGTTTGTTGTTTGTGGAATCATTTATTGAAGAATGAATCTGAATTTTTCGATCTGTTACGATTATAAACTGAAGCAATATAAAAATGAGCCCCATTAACTGAGTTTTAAACATCAGCATATCCGGTCATAGTCCGGTAATTACCTGCTAACGGAAACTCTGCTACACAATTCTTATTATTGAAACATGACCGGTAAGTTTCAAATTTGTCCGGTAAAATAAATTCTGTCCGGACATTTGACCGGCGAGAAAAAATCCTAGCGGAAACCCTGGTATGTATAACATCTGAAGATGTGTAGTTTTATTCATGTTTTCACATAATTTTACTTCTACACATTAATATCTGATTTGTAAAACATCACAGACAGAAAGGTATATCCGTCATTTAATGGTAAGATATTGAAATTCTGAATCCATAGATGTGTCTCCCATCACCACACTCGGATTAAAGTATTATTTTCATTTTTTTTAAATGTTTTTCGGATTTCATATCGCATTAACACCATATCCCAACGTGCATTGCGGCTAAACAATCCAATCACCGAGCTTAAACCATATCTGAGGATCTTGGGTAATCAGTTCAGTGGGTGTGTATCTGTTTCCGTTTTTTTATTTTGAAATTCAGTTCCTGACGGACGGCAAAAAAGCCAGAGATTATAGAATTAAACAAATAAATAAAAACAAGGATAATTGTGTGTTTTTGTTGAGTAAATAAAAGTGTGTTATTTAGAAAAGAATAACAAATTAGAAGGAAAAAAATATTTAAAAAATACAGATTTCAGTATTCTGAGGCTCTGAGCCCCATTTCTTTTCCTCGCGGATGTCTGACATTATACGATTTAAAATTAAAAACAGTATTCGTGGCTTGATATTGAGTAAGAACATGTGTTTATGAACCACACAGCTTCCGGTCTTCCAAGACCCGACCGGACAAAAAGACGTGGTGCAGGCACGAAACATACTACCAATAGAAATACATTGCTTTTAAAATCATTCTGTGTGACACGAAAAAAAGGGTAAAATCGTGTTGGTGAACACGAATCAATAGATTAAATGTCGTGACTATAACACGAAATGCCGTGAGACTGGGTTGGTATATTTTGTGCATACCTATGCGAGAATTTGTGTGTGTGTGTGTGTGTGTGTGTGTGTGGTGTGTGTGTGTGGTGTGTGTGGTGTGTGTGTGTGTGTGTGTGTGTGTGTGTGTGTGTGTGTGTGTGTGTGTGTGTTGTGTGTGTGTGTGTGTGTGTGTGTGTGTGTGTGTGTGTGTGTGTGTGTGTGACTGTACCTTTCTTGCTGGCTGTGGCCACCATGGGCAGAAAGTCTTTGGAAGTGAAGAAGCCCTGATCCATCGTCAGATTCTGGAAGATTTTAGCTTTGTTGGCCTGAGGGAGACCTGAAGACACACACAGGTTCAACAGGAGGAAAAATATGTTTATTATAAATTAACTCGATGAAGCCATGTTTGCATAACAGTTTAAAGCAATCACACATAGACATACCAGTGTTTCCCACATAATTTGATTCTATTTGTGGGGGCACCGCACCGTAACCCCCCCCCCACCCGGCAAGAAGAGCCAAAGGCCCCTTAACCTATTCGGGTGGTCCACGCATCCACCCCCCCTCAAATAAGATAATACATGCGAGTTCATGGCTACTGTAGATAACGTTCTTGTTGCTCTGTGTTGCGTTGTTAATGAGTGAAACACACCGGAGTTGAGGATCTGTGGGGTTTATTCTCCCAAAAATATAATTTACAATTTAGGCATTTGGCAGACGCCTTATTCCAAAGCGACTTACAATGACCAATTACAGGGACATTCTCCCTGTAGTAACCAAGGGCTAAGTGCCTTACTCAAGGGCACACTAGTAGTGGTGTTCCAGGCAGGATTTGAACTCGCAACCTTCCGATCATCAGCCCACCTCACTTTCCATTAGACCACAAAAAAAAAGAAAAAGGAATAATAATAAAAAAGATTTATGAGATCCATTTGTGGCGGACGATATTTAATTGTGGCGCCACAAATAAATCAATGTATGAGAAACACTGCATACTGTATTTATCCCACTGTTACAGAAGGATTGTAGTATACAAAATGATAATACACTACCACAGGCCAAAGGTATTTTCTGAAGAGGCACTCACCAATCCCGATGAAGACTGCCTTGAATCCTTCCTCTTTCAGGGAAGTCAAAGTCATTCCATCAACACCCAGACCCTTCTCACAAATCACCTGTTGGATAAAAACACACATTTATCAAGACTGTGTAAGGATTCAAATCATCAGAAAGGTCTTATCATTTAAATTAACGTCATTATTTGATCTCTGTCCATTTTCTGTCCAATATGTGGAATGCTCTCTGTCATACATTTGAATTGTTTGGCCTCATATTTCAGTACACATTTAGATGATCATAAACAAAATAAAGAAAGATGACAGAATACACAACACTTAATAGCGAAACAATTATTATAGTGAGGACAATTGGTGCATTTAAAACACATGTGTGAGTAGGAAAGGAGTTTCTGTGAGTCATACCTTTACTCCTAAGTCCTTCATCAGGTCTATTTCAAACTGCACAACCTCATAGGGAAGCCGGAACTCAGGGATCTCTGCTGTGCTGCAGGGAATCAAACACATGTGTTGAATGTGACATCCCTTTATTCCCCTTTACTTTGTCTTTTTCATATCTCTCTTCATTTTCAACACTACAAGTACGTTTAAGAGGTTTTTCAAAGTCATTCTAATGAACAACATGAATCTTTCTTCCTCTCTGATTTGGGTTTGGGTTATTTCAAACAGGTATGAATTCAGTTTTTGTCAAAGAGACTTTAATTCAACCCTTCTTCATAAACGCCATCAATTTCCAAATTATAGAGGGACAAAATAATCAGATTTCGCTAAATGAATGCGACTAGTTTGTTTGTATATATGTTTATTTTGTAATGTTTCCTAGCATCTGCTGCATCTTAGGCCTTGCTTTCTATAATACAGTATGTGCTAAGTAGTTTGGTAACTCTATTTTAAAGTTCCTAAAATGAATTTTGACAAAATCATTTTTTATCAAATAACTTAATTGATACAATAGAATGACATACATAATTAGATATAATATCTTACTTTGATATGCTGTACTGTACAGATGTATGAGGATGATGTGTTACCTCAGCCCTCCAATCCACTTCTGTTTCTCAAATATGGTAATATTATCATATCCAAGGCGGGCCAGGAAGGAGCCGCAGCTGATTGACGCAGGGCCACAACCAATCAGAGCTATGGGGGCATGGTAAATCTCTGGCATCTCATTGGCTGGTGGCAGTTCAGGATTCCTGATCTGAGGGATGCCCATCTTGCTAAACACCTTAGAAGAAACACACAAACGTATATTTGAAACAACCCACTTTTAACAGACTGCATTCAGACAATAACACTGATACATTTTCTACACAACATGGCTTTAAGTCACCCTACGTAACCATGAAGAACAGTTACCACTGTGGACACAATAATGAGATGATGATTCATTTTATAAGTATCACTTGTTCAAGCAGGAAATAGTGTTGTTCATTGCAAACTTCAAGATTCCTCCTCAAAGAATAATGTTTTGAATCGGTGTTTCAGTTGCATGCATGAAATAATGTCTGTGTTTAACGAATTAAAGAGATTTTCACATTTTGTTCTACAAGATAAATCAGTGAATTAGGAACATTTAAGCGCCTAAAACAAGATGGTTGCTAAGTGGCTAAATGAGACTACTAGTCATCATGGCGAACACCAGAAAATGAATCTATAAAATAGTGGTTATGTGGTGCGAATGGTGTAGTTTGTTTAAAGTTTTTAGCTTTTTACTTGTGGCAATTAATTCACACTTCCAAAATCAAGTGGTGATAATTGCTAAAGATAATCTTGAATAGATGACATGATTACAACTGCTTAAACTCAATACAGCTCATCTAAGTATTCTGTGCTCGTGAACTGTACCTCGGTAGCAAACTGCTGCAGCCCTCCGATATTAATGGGTCCCTCCTCAGAAGCAAACAAGTTGCAGCCCCCCACACACAGCTCTGATGTGGGACACACCATTCCACAGGTCAGGCCCAGCGGGTTGTCAGAAAGGATGGCCCGTGCTGACCCATAGTAGTTCTAGTATACACACACACATAGATACACTCAAATATCACTGCTAAATACCACTTTTCAATAATTGTTTGTTTTTCATCTGAGACATGTTTCAGGACATTGAACTGACATTTAGAAGTCCCTGTGTGCAGGAAGGTATTTGTTTGTGTATATTTGCAGTACCTTATTAGAGATGCTTGTAATAAATGACTTGATGTCCAGGTTAGTAGGGCAGCTCTTCTGACAGGGAGCATCCACGCATTTAAGACACCTAAACACAGATTAGACTTTTACTTACATTTTAAAACTCCCTGCCTATGTTTTTTTTGTAAAACGTTTTAACTTTATTGAACAATTATATCAGTACATTATAACAAGGCATATAAACATCAAGGTTCATTACTAAACTTAAAAAATGGAGGGCATTATGAACAGGTAATTAAAGTGTTTAGGGTGTAAGTGTCCTATTGTTCAAAATGTATTTTATTGCCTCAAATAAAAAGCTTTTCAAATCCACCCAGAACATTTTTATAAAAATTAAATGTCAAGGCGTCTTGTCCTAGTGCCTTTCCTACTGCTATCCTCTTAACCGCCTTATCTAATTCTGTCATTCTGATCTCAGATTCACACATTTCCCTAAAAGCTAAGTCTATCTTGATTGAAGGCAAGCCATTCATAATGATTATAACAGCCCAGTTTTATCTGTTAGCGGTGCTTTGAGCTAACCGCTAACATCAGCGTACGAACATGGCAACCCAGTCTCTCGGCATTTCGTGTTATAGTCACAAAATGTAGTCTATTGATTCGTGTTCACCAACACGATTTTCCCCTTTTTTTCGTGTCACACAGAACGATTTTAAAAGCAATGTATTTCTATTGGTAGTATGCAGGGTCGGCTCTAGAACAAATCAAATGGGGGGGCAATCATTTACCACGGGGGGGGCACACACTGCCGTCAACAACCCGGGAAGATTTATTTTTAAATATTGAAGTTAAAAGCATCAATCTGGTGCACTTTGAGAGCAACATTAAGAGATCTATGGAAACATCTCTCAACACCCATATGAAACAGAACTGTAAACAGATTTACTTTTTTCTTTATGCATATTTTACAAATCACTCCCCTTTTAAACTGTATTCTTGTTTTCTGTCATATAGCCTAGTATTTCATACCTGTTTTTCATTTATTCTCTTATTTTTTAATAACTATAATGATCATATAAAGGTGTTCCTCGGAAATACTTGTTTACATAAATGGTAACCAAACCGTTTGAGACCCACTGAGATAACTTAAGTGAACTATCTAAACACTGACAGAGTCCTGACCTTACCTCACTGAGCTGTAGTTATCTGAGCCTCTCAGTCTGACAGGAGAGGACTCTCCTCCACACTGTAGAAACAGCTCTTTATAACCGTTAGCATAGCTAGCTAACCAGATGCTAACAACAACAAAATGCGCTTGTGCCACATACAGAGAGCCGAGCTTGAATGAAACAAAGAGACCCAGAAGTACTTGTACTGCACTGTATCATATTATTTGCTATGGCTTTACTGTATGATCAGTATAACAGATGAACAGATCGCCACTGGGCTTACAACTAAACAGTCAGCCACGTAATGACAACAAAACAAGGGTCGGGGGTCATTGGTCAAGCAACACACCAATCAACGAGCAGCAGTGAGCACGTCTCAGGCTGTGTTTTTTATTTGTATTCTTTATGTCTGATTTATTTCACACAAAAAAAAATTAGTGGAAACGTTTTCACTTATATGATAATAAAAAAAACGGCAAAGTGGCAGGGCTTGACTGCCCTGCGTTGGGGGGGCACAGTGACTCGTTTGGGGGGGCATGGCCCGCGAATGACCCCCCACTACGTCTTTTTGGGTCTTGGAAGAACGGAAGTTGTGTGGTTCATAAAAACATTTTCTTACTCAACATCAAGCCACAACTTTTTTTGCCGTCCGTGAGGAAAATAAATGGGGCTCAGAATACTGAAATATGTATTTTTTAAATCTTTTTTTCCTTCTAATTTGTTATTTCTTTCGAAATAACACACTGTTATTTACTCAACAATAACACACAATTATCCTTGTTTTTATATATTTGTTTAATTCTAGAATCTCTGGCTTTTTTGCCGTCCGTCAGGACATAAATAATATTATGTATGAAATAATTTTGTCTATTAACTAGAGCGCCGGGTCATGTTATGACCGTCTTTTCTATGTTGCTGTGGGGTTTTTCCATCGGTATGGGTTTTAAAATATAAAAACAGTAATAAGTAATAAGCCAATAAGTAAGCCTTATCAGCCATAACTATCAACAGAATTGCGTTGCCAGGCAACAGCTTGGGGTGAAAACAGTATTTCCGGTCTCTACGTTTTCATAGTAAAACCGGAAAAATTCCCCTCACTGTCAAATTATTTTACAGTGATATCTGCAGTACTCATCAACTAAAAACATCAGTTTATCCTTGTTAATTACACAACATTGATTGGTTTAAATTGTGTACAATGCTTTTGTGTTTTTCCCCTTCGATTCGGAGAAACAAATAGTTTTTTCTGAGTTTAGGATGGCCGAAGACACTACACTACCCATAATCCTCAGCTATCGTTTGGGACTACACCAGTCCCTTTGGTCCCTGTGATTAGTCTTCAAGCTCCGTGATTGGATGTTGGAGTGGCAGTGCGCCAAGGTTACGCCGAGCGTCAAACAGCTCTTTGAAATGGAATGAAGCCACGGCAGACTATCCAAAATAGGATTCGAATGAGTCCACCCCCCCCCTAGAACTACACATGCTGGCCAGAGCCCTGATGCTGGTTATTTGTGTGTTTCGCAACATGTTCTACTGGGAATTGTAGTTTTAAAAGACGTATTTCCCACAATTAGAAGTTGCCAGTATTAAACTGTTTACACCCCTGGAGGTTTAGGGGATAGGAAACACATTGGTGTTATCAAATTTAAAACTTATAATTAATACATGGGTGAAAATTGCTTGTGCCCATAATGGACAGCATTAATATATACCCACATGATAGCTAAGGTCAGAAGAGCTTTATTTAATAGCTGGTCTTATGTCTGTGACCTCTCCTGTTGTTAATTGATAAGCCTTGAAAAATGCACTTGTCAAGGTTCAGAGGCAAATTTTGCAAATATGGCAGTAGTCATCGATCATCTTAAGATAAGATAAGATAAGATAAGATAAGATATACTTTATTGATCCCAAGTAATACACTGCAGAATGTAAAACATGCAATTTATTGTTACTTTGTAATTCTACTCCACTACAATTCAGAGGTTAACCTGGTATTTTTACTCCACTACATTTATTTTAGTTACTTTACAGATTCTGATTAATGATGTGAAATATAAACAACCCTTAAATCAGACTTTAGTTACACCGGAGTAAAATTCAGGGAAGGTGATTGTCAAGTGCCAACAATCAGGAGAGATATTTGATAGTTGGTGCTTGAGAAGACTAAACAATTATCTGCAGATCCCTATAAAGTATATTCATTACTCGTTATTCTCTAATCGTTCATTAAAGACTGTATATAATGGCTATTTTGCACATCCCTTTCAAGATTTCAAGATTTTCTAAGGTTTATTGACATATCATGTACACAACTACGGTGTAGTTATGCAATGAATGAAAAACTTGGGTCACAGGTTCCTCAACAGTGCATTACAAGACATCTATCAATATATGTGTACCTCCACCATTAAACTGTCATATTCTGCACATTTCTTATTCTATCTACATACATAAGATTATAATTAATGTGTATAATATCAGTTAAAATAAGTGCTTCAACATAGTTAACATTGCAGAAAAGTTGATTGTCAAGTCCCAAAACAAACTATGCAATATATTTGACGTTAAGTACTTTGTCAGACTTAATATTTATCTGTAGATACCCCCAAAGCTTTTTGCTTACATGTATTTAAAAGAAGACCTTAACCTAAAGTATTCTTTAATGTGTTAATAAAGGTTAATTAGTTTGTCTGTTTTGCACATCCTCCTGTTAATATCTTTGTACATCCAGCACTAAACTGTTTTATTGTAGAGATCACTTACAGTATCTTCTTGATTTTTTATATTCTATATTTCTATCATTGACCTTCTACTTTCCCCCTATGAAAGTATGTACTCTTAATATTTCTTCAATATAACATATTCAACACAAAAATTCAATAACGTGCTTTAACCACTAGGTGGTACGGGTTAAAAAACTGTCAAGTTTAAAGTGTTAACACAATAAATTATACTTTCCAGTATAAGTTTCCAGTTTAGTTCATGACGGATGTATTTTGTTATCCACACACATATTTTTTTGATATTTGTAACACCAAACCGACAGAAAAGATGGTCTTAACATGACCCAGTGGTCTAGTTCAGTGTTTCTCAAACTTTTTCATACTGTACCAAGGACCACTTAACCAATAAAAAAACACTCACGGACCACCTAACTCCACAAATATCCAAAAACAAAAGGCCTGCTTACCACTCCAACAGTACATAACAAATTACAGCCCAATAATAGGCGCGTTCACACCAAGTACTTTGCCGTATTTAGTGCCGGCACTTAGTGCCCCAGCAATTATTACCCCAGGGCATTTAGTACAGATCGCGTTCACACCGGAATAAATTCCCTGAGGGAAGATTACGCAAATGAGCCGCTGACGTCACTTCGTCTTCTTCTGCTTTGGGTTTACTGGCAGGCCGCAAACAACTTCACGGCGTATACTGCCACCCGGAGTCCCCGGCCGGAAGTCCCCGGAGTTGGGGACTGGCTTCAGTAGAAGCCTTCCGAGTAAATCGCCAGAACGCCGACACCTCCTCATCTCCACCGCTCCCATGTTTTATTTTGTGTTGCCATAAGTTAGTCTCTCTGCGTTTGTGCGCTGGGCGAATGCTAATGCTAATAATGCTAATGCGAGGATAATAAAATGGCGGCTCTACAAAACATTTCAGAGTTGTACGGGGCGTGGTTTGCAATTCGCCCAGCCAATCAGAACTGGGGCACTTTTTTCCCTCAGGAAAGTACCATCTCTCAGCAGGCACTAAAAATGGGGGTAAAAGTTCCCGAGATTAAATGCTCTTTTTGGTGTGAACGCGACATAAGGGGTACTAACGGAACTAAACGCGAAAGGTCCGGAGCTGCCGGAGCCTCGCAACGGTGGGTGTTTGCGGCGGCGGATGCGGTACCGGCGCAGCGGCGCTGTGAAAGTCCGCGGCCCACCTATGCCAGAGCCAGCAGCCCACCGAAGGCAGCATCCCACCAACGGCAGCGGCCCACCGGGAAAAATCTGCCGATGGCCAATCCGAGCCTGCTCACACACACACAACTGAAACCATTGGGCAGAGAGCTGTGCACATTCTTCTTCCCTTCGCCACATCTTATCTCTGTGAAATGGGCTTTTCAGCTGTTGCAACACTGAAAACAAAATACAGATCTAGGCTCAACATTGATCAGAGGCCTGTACTACGAAGCCGGATTTTCGCTTAGCGGGCTAACTTCAGGGAAAACTCTGGGTTTCCGGTCCTACGACGCTGGTTCTCTTTTTAGCGGGCTAGATCTCCATGGTAACTTATGCTGAGCGGCTAACCAGGGGCCTATACTACGAATCTAGTTCAACATATCCTGGATATGTTTTGAGTTATCCGGTTGACTTAATCCAAAACAAACCCGCTCTCGCTAAACTGTCCTACGACGCTGGCTATCAACTCGATCGCTCAAGCCAGCCGTGTCCTATCTAGTTAGGTGCGCGTTCACATAAAAGGGGTGGTATTTGGAGCATTCGACCAATCACAAACATGGACAAGTCGTGTACTGACAGCGCAGCGTCATACTTCCTGAATGAAAAGTCAACTAATATTAGACAAATATGAAGACGTTAAACTTTAAACATCCATGACTTAAACACTTTATCCAGGATAAAAGCCACATAGTTGCAGCTGCAAGGTGAATACTGCTGGTAAAAGAAAAAGTGTTTGAATGCGTACATTAACAGGTTTATGATATCACTGCCCCGTATAAGACACGAGTGGATCTGACTTTAATTACATTTGACTCGAGTGTTTCGTCAACTTAATGTGTTGCTTAAAATAATACTTCTGCATACAGTATGTGACACTGTGAGTGTTGCACGCCAGATACGGCTCAAGAAGCTGACTCAGATAAGGAAATATATGATACATTATGATGTGATATCATGTGATATGAATGATAATGGGACACATCGCCGTCTGCACTCACAGTGCCGCGGACTGTAGGCTACGTAATGTTACTTTGATCCGGTTACTTATGTTGTGGCAGATATTTAAGTAAGCTTTCTTAACGCTAATGTTATAATAGTCAGATTGCTCTGAAGATGGGAGGTGATATTCTATTAATTTTCACGTTCACACAGTCGGTGATTTTTGCCGGCCGTCTTTCCTGCAACGGCAGTTTAAACTGTATTTCCTTTCTCCTGTCATATGAATTGATCGCTTTAAACTCCGCACACTGAGCTCTGATTGGTCAGCAGGCAGTGCTTTTATCCTGGAACCTATCCAGCTCCGGAGGCTAGCCGTTCAGAATAAGTTATCTAGCCCGCTAAGAAGTGAACCAGCGTCGTAGGACCGGAAATCCAGGAAGTTAGCTCGCTAAGCGAAAATCCTGCTTCATAGTATAGGCCCCTGGCCTCGGATCGATCAAGCTTAACTAACCTGTAGCTGCTCCGTCCACACTCACAACAACGTCCTAAAGACAGAAATAAAGCTGCGACTGTATTCGCCATGACATAGACAGTCTGTGTTTTGTTCATGTTTAACTTTGGTCCAGTTTCTGAACAGATATGAGGAGCTGTGAGCTCTGTGTGCTAACAGCTAACGGCTGATGTTTTGTTGAGCTGTCTGGTGCTGACCAATCATGAAGCGTCATTTCTTGATTGGCAGCAAAAACAACCAATCACAGCTTCTCTGGCTGGCTCTGTCCAATCACAAACAATAAATCTTCTCCCTAAAGGAATACCCTTTCCGTAAAAATCGAAATGTTGAAGTGTTTTGTGAAATGCTGTAGTGTTTTGTGAAATGCTGTAGTGTTTTCTGAAATGCTGTAGCGTTTTCTGAAATGTTGAAGTGTTTTGTGAAATGCTGTAGTGTTTTGTGAAATGCTGTAGTGTTTTCTGAAATGCTGTAGCGTTTTCTGAAATGTTGAAGTGTTTTCTGAAATGCTGTAGTGTTTTCTGAAATGCTGTAGTGTTTTCTGAAATGCTGTGGTGTTTTCTGAAATGTCGTTGTGTTTTCTGAAATGCTGTAGGGTTTTCTGAAATGCTGTGGTGTTTTCTGAAATGTCGTTGTGTTTTCTGAAATGCTGTAGTGTTTTCTGAAATGTTGTTTTGACTTGCACTTCAGGGCTACCGTAATTTTGTTATACACACATTCCTTAATATTTTAATTTGAATTTACATTAAAGTATTTCGTGAGGCATTCTATTTTTTTTTTTAATATAACTAGGGTTCTAGTTGAAGAGTTTATAAATGAACATGAACCCAAGCTGTTGCCTGGCAACACAATTCTGTTGATAGTTATGGCTGATAAGGCTTATCACTTATTGGCTTATTACTTATTACTGTTTTGATATTTTAAACCCCAAACCGATGCAAAAAACCCACAGCAACATAGAAAAGACGGTCATAACATGACCGTCTTCTCTAGTTAATAGACAAAATAATTTCATACATAATATTATTAATGACTTTATTTTTAAATGTAGTTCCTGACGGACGGCAAAAAAGCCCGACATTATAGAATTAAACAAATAAATAAAAACAAGGATAATTGTGTGTTATTGTTGAGTAAATAACAGTGTGTTATTTAGAAAAGAATAACAAATTAGAAGGAAAAAAAAGATTTGTAAAAATACAGATTTCAGTATTCTGAGCCCCATTTTCTTTTCCTCACGGACGGCAAAAGAAGCCCGACATTATACAATTTAAAATAAAAACAATAATCGTGGCTTGATATTGAGTAAGAACATGTTTTTATGAACCACACAGCTTCCGGTCTTCCAAGACCCGACGGGACAAAAAGACGTGTTGCAGGCACGAAACATACTACCAATAGAAATACATTGCTTTTAAAATCATTCTGTGTGACACGAAAAAAAGAGGAAAATCGTGTTGGTGAACACGAATCCATAGATTACATTTCGTGACTATAACACGGAATGCCGTGAGACTGGGTTGGGTAAATACAAGCTGAAGAGATTTTCATGTTTTGTTCTACAAAATAAAATGTGTCAGTAAATACCCCAAAGGTGAATGTCTGAAGCTTCTATGGGTCATAAAAACAGCTAACAAGTGAATAAATTAGACAACTTAATGTTATCATGCTGAACATTAGCCGCCTTTAGCTTAGCGGTGGTGATGCGCAGCCATGTCTGTGATGTAGTTTTTTTAGCCAAAATAGCTTTTTACTTTAAAAAATCGTCCTCACTGCACCACTCTAGGACCATAGACTGGGATGTAAAGGTGGACATGGTCCCCATGACCTCACCGATTAGTTTGTGAACTATGATTTGAAGTCTATTTTAATAAACTTAAATTAACTGAAAACACACTGAAAAGAGTTCTAAGAGAGAGAACATGAGGAGCAACCAGACGAACACCTCCGTGGTAAGAAGGCTGAAAAGTGGTTTTCCCTTTTTTGCAGTTGACTGAGTGAGATCGCAAGAATTGAAGTTTAACAACTCAGTATGGTACTTGGTACTTGGTAATGGGTAATTTTCATTAAAAACGGAACAAAGTAATTAATTCTCACCTGAGTGCTTCTCGTAGAGCTCCACGCTCACTCAGCGTTGTGTGTTTGATATCATCAAAGTTGTTTTCTAAGTCCACACAAGACTGAAGAGTGGAGAACATAGAACAATGAAAAAAAGATTAATGAAAACAGGGACAAAAAAGAAGGACTGAACCGCACAACCAAAGCCAGGCTGTGTGTGTGTGAGAGAGTGTTGTATACTTACATCACAGCTCTTTTCATGGTTTCTCTTCCAGTGTGTCTTTTCTTTCTTCTTGTTGGCCGTGGACATAATCTGAGCATGAGTCTTCACCCTGGGATTCAGAGCCAGGATGCTCTGTAGGAAAAGAGGAAAATACATCACACATCCAGAACAACTGTGGCAGAAGTCCAATCCTGTGCAAAAATACTGTTTTCTATTTATTAGGGTGTTTGAGTTTCATAAACTGTATCCTTTTGTTAACCCAAAGGTTTAGAAGTGTGGATTATAAATGCTGGATTTTGCTTTCCACCTGTTACTCATGAACTACTACTGATATCGTTTTTTATAGCACACGCACGCACGCGCGCAGACACACACACACACACACACAGATCTGCTGACAAAATCTCTGAAACTATGGAAAATTCTAGGAAGTGAACTTGTTTGCTTAGATCAGGTTCAAGGTGATAAGATAATGACGAGCAGCCAGGTCAATGTGCTGGGGTTATGTGACATGTGATATATAATACAAAAGAAATAAAAACAATAAATGATGTCTCATATTGTTACAAACAGAAAATAAATCAAATAATGAAATAAATAAATAGGCTCATGATCTACTCTACTTAAGGCCTTTCCAAATAACAGATACACCAGACAAATCCCAACAAGTCATCATCTGTTTGCTTCCAAAATTAAAAGGAAATGTTTTCATACCCAATTTAACAATAGTTTAATACTGGTTTTCGTTACACTTTTAACATATGTACTGTAGCAGTTATTATATTATCATCTGCTTCACCCAAACTGAATTTCAGTTTTAAAACCAAAGAGTTGAATGCAGATCTTTTGGACATCCGTTAAAACTATTGCACCATCTCTTCACGTGCACACCCATCCATCGACTCTGACCATACATCACCTATCTACAGATTATATAACCTCACACGCCGATTGTTGCATAAGACCACAAGGTCATGAGCGAGACTATATAACATGGTCTTTTATCCCCTTAATCCTGCTGTGACATAATGTGGCAGAATGTATTTTGGACAAAAAAGATTTAAAAAACAATATTTTGCTTCAAAGGATCACAACCCACCTTTACCTAAACTGAAAGACAAAAATGTGCTGTAGGAAATATGATTAAATAGTTTAATTTAATTTGAAATGCACTTCAATTCATGTCAACAAGGACTCTCCTTTACTCAGATCCAGAGATGTAATTAATGAGGTTCTCCAGAATGTGTAAATACTCATAAGATGTTTATGAAATGATACTGGCCACGATTGCAGCCGCTGAGCCAGAGACTCCTGACCTTTATTCCTTAAAAACTGGACCATGCATTTACCATAACGCGACTTTTATAGTGTCACCATAAGGCCCTTTCTGCCTTGTAGATGTCCCACATCATATTTATAACAGCCTTTCTGTTATAAGTAACACGTTTCCATTCCAAATACCACCGTAGCATGAAGAATACATACTTTTGGGAAATACTACTCATAACATTGTGCCTTGACCCTTTTGCTCATATAGACCCTGTCCAAAGATTGTGAGTCATAAAGCCAGAAAAGCATGGAGCATTTTACATGCTGCAAAATGTGACAAATGCCGATCATCCTGCTATTTTTGTGAATAAAATATTTTACATACAATGTATTGGGCCATACTACATTTTTTTCTGGCATACTAAATAGTAAATTGAAGGCACCCTTTGTACTGTACATAATGAGCTGAAGTTTGAACATAATACTGAAAATTCTCTTTTAAATTATTTCTGTCCATTAGTACCTAGTGACCAAACTGTAGCGTTTCTGCAGAGAATGTAAGGCGTTTAAAGTCTCTATTCACATTAGCCCATTGTGAGACCTCAGATTAGTGTTCTGGAGGATAATCCCTGAACTAAACAAGAATAATCCAATGTATACTCATGCAAATTATGTTCAGGACTTTAAGAGTGAAAGGGTTATTTGAGTTTTATTTCAAGCGACTTTGTTCTACTCTGATATACAGGTTCAAACAAGATTTGTTCTGGTACCTTCACAAGATCACAACCAACAATATCAGAAAAGTATTACCATTCAAAAAAAGTATGATTTCACACTATGTATCATGATTCGTCAATTCTATCAACATTATTAGTGGACGCTGTACATGCACAGTGAATTACTGCAGCTGTAACAGATACACAGACCATCATTTACCTCAATGTCTGGCAGGTCTTTGCTCAACATGATGCTGCTTCCGTCTAGTTTGGGGTCTAAATGCTCTCTGAAGATCTCCTGGAGATTGTCGCTGCTCTCTGGATTAGAGGTCCGAAGCACTGTCCGGGACTGCTCTGCTCCCAAGTGGAACTCTCCGGAAGTGTACTGTCCTTAAGAGGCCCACTCCTCTAACTCACAGTTAGACAACATGTTGACTGGTTAAAGCAAATGAATGTTGTCTTACCCGGACTAATCTGTGGATAAGGCAGGCTGACCGGCAGAGATGATATGCGGGGTTGAAGTTCAGCAGATGGACAGCATGTTACTGGGTGCATTGCTCATGAGCTCTGGATCGTCAAACAGTCCCCACAGCCAACGGTTCAAACTCCACCCTGGGTACTTATTTCTTTTTTAACTCCTTCCTTTCTGTCTCAATGATAAATCTGCTTGTATGTGTATGGGCTAGAGCCGAGGCAGATCTCAAAACTTTGGCAAAAGTTTAAAGGTGTTCCCTTTTTGGTTTCTTATACATTGGATCCATGGTATACCCCCGCATATTGAACAACAAAGAAAAAAAAAAAATATATGTATATACATATATATAAATATATGTATATACATATACATATATATAAATATATGTATATATACCACTTTATTATGATTATTATTACAGGTTGCTATTCAACTTCTATAATAAATCTGTCAATATATATTTTTACTTTCACTGTTACCTGGCTGCATCACTGTTAATGGTACTTTTTGTTTGCCACCTGGATGTTTATTTTTGTAAATTGTAATTTGTGTAATTTCAAATGTTATCTGTAATATTTTATGCATTCCCCTTAATAACATTTTGTTATTTTTGGCTCTATGGTTCCACAAGAACCCTCTCTGGGGTTTCTAACCAGTACCTTCCCTCGTTCTAAGGGTGCTAATAAGAACCCTGTTCTACAGAGAACCCGTTATATTGCTCGGGGCTCATCTAGAATCTAATGAAGGGGCCGTAAAAGGCTTTTAAGTGTAGCTATTGATAACCTTTAACCCCTTTTAAGGTTCTATCACAACAGTATTGTATTTTACAGATAATGCCAACATGAATTGAAAACCCCACCCCCCTTTTTCATTCAATTCCCTCTCTGAGGGCCTAAAATATTCAAAAAAATCATATTTGAAAACATTAATATGTTCTCTCAATGAGAGAGTAATGACAGTACAATTGACCAATCATATCTTCCCTCTAATGGCGCATTTCCACTACAGCGGGAAGCGCATTTTAAGCGTGCCGTGCCGTGCCCGTGCCCGGCCCGTTTTTTGGTTGCGTTTCCACTAGGCGTAGTTCCGGCTAGCGGGAACTTTTTCACAGTTTTTCTGGCTCTCCAAAATCGAGGTTCTTTCCGGGCCAACAACTGGGCTGAGGATGCTAAACTAGTGAGAGAATCGCTGGCAACTACAACAAAATGAACATATTTGACCGTGATTTAATTGTAATACACGTTTCAAAATGATGCTGAAGTAACAACAAACTGATACCGGTTAGTAAAAACCATGAATTAATGCTTTGACAAGTCTGCAGACAGACGGCAGGTGAAAAAATGCGTGTTTTCTAAATGGAGATCGGCTAAGCTAACGCAGTATATGCTCCGACCGTCCACACTCACAACAACGGCCTATACAGACATAAATAAACCAGCGACTGTATTCACCATGACACAGGCAGTCTGTGGTTTGTACTTGTTTAACTTTTGTCTAGTTTCTGAACAGATATGAGGAGCTGTGAGCTCTGAGGGCTAACAGCTAACGGCTGATGTTGGTTTTGTGCTTCGCATTGAAGATGACGTCACGGCTCCGCCTACACTGCGTTACTATAGTTACTACCCCAGTTCCTAAACTGTAATGGAAACGCAGCATAAAGTGAGCCTGGCCTACCAAGGCCTAACTATACCGTACTAAGCCGTGCGAGGCCCTGCAGTGGAAATGCGCCATTAATGGGTGGGCTTTATTTTCGCAGACAAGTTCCGCCCGCTGTGAAGTTGATGCATGTGTGTTATAGAGGTGCAGTGACGCGTCCTAAAACCCGGAAGTAAGCGGCGCTCGGGTTCCCTCGACAAAAAAGCAAAGGGATTTCTCCATAGGGTTTTGGAAAATAGCTCAAAATAAGGTCTGTGGAAAATGAACCTGTTAGATAAATGCACATTTTGTTCAGCCGGATAATATCCACATGTCTACCCTACTTTTCTAATTTTCTAATCATATATCTAATTGATAGATTTATGACCGATAGATTTATGATTAGCATAAGTTCGTTCATGATGGCTCATGTCAGTGATAGTGATTACATCGTTGCGAAATTATTAACAGAGTCATTTTCAAGATTGAGTTACAATGATAAACTGGAGTGGCAAAGGATCAGCTGCATGACCCGCCATCAAGTGCTTCATCCAAAAGGACAGGAGGATGGGCTTTGTGTTTAAGTGATTTGATCATCAAAGGTAGGCCTAAGTCATTTGTGGGCCGCCGTGCCGACTTCATTCATTTGTAATTGTTACTTGGCTGTGGGTGCCCTGTGATGATAGGTGTTTATATAAATGGTGTTGTTTTGTGTTTTGTTTTGTGCTGTCATTGATGCGTTTTGCACCCGGGCCGTTGTTTTGATCCAAATGTCCAAATCTACTGAGGGCTGCACAATTCATTTTAAATAGAACAATCATACCATCACCTTATAATGTAACCATGGCTATTATAATGTGTTAGCAAACAGTGGCACATTATGCAGCAAAGCAATATAGTTCTAGTTTAGTCTTCACAACTGTTTGGTTCCAGGTTGTTAAAACACTCGACAGAGCTAAGGAGAACAGAAAGGTTGGTAACAATTCTCTGTTGGTTTTTCCCAACGAGTTACCCCCTTTCTCACTACACATGATCATTTAAAACATCATCGACTTCCGGTGAGCAAGGCGAGTGAGATGGCTGCTTATTTTTAGCTCTCGATAGCGATTGGAAATCAAACCCCCTTAACTCGCCCAAATAATATACAATCGTGTAATTTTTATTGGAATGAGAGGGGGAAAGAGAAACTAGAAGTCAAAAGAAAGGTGACAAACTAGAAAGACAGAATTCAACCGGAGATGGAAGATGCTCAAAGCTCCGTTAGCTCCGTTAGCTCACAACAGGACTCGGCAGACACATGGCGCTCAGTGCTCCAGGAAATACGCGATTTCAGGGCTGAGCATAAGTTGGACTTAAACAAACTTAAAGAAGAAAATCAAGGGGGACATGAAATCTGAACTCGAAGATATGAAGCAGGAAATTTACCAAAAACTTTCTGCTAACTCCGCGCTAACCCAGGCCCACGAAACTAGCTGAAAGAAGCGGAGGAACGAATCGATGAGGCGGAGACAGTAAACATGGCTTCTGTCAGATGCGTTGATTAAATCAATGAAAGAACAGAGAGCCATGCAGGGGAAACTGGTGGGATTTGGGAAGGTCGATCCAGGAGAAATAATATGCGCATTTATGGAGTACCCGAAGAGAAGGAAGGTAACTCCATGTCTGACTTTGTGGATCAACTTTTGAAAACTGAACTCGCTTTACCGGACACCAACCTACAGATACAAACGCGCCCATAGAGCTGTGGCTCGCAAACCGGAAAAGGAATGCACCGCCAAGGTCCATAGTGGTGAACTTTCTGGAGTTTAACACCAAAGAAAGGGTACTGAAAAAGGCCTGGGAAAAAAAGATACTGATGGAAGGGCGACGTCTATCGTTCGATCACGACCTATGCAACGGAAGGTCGTCCTGAAGCGCAGGCGTACGTGGGAATAAAGAGGGTCCTTAAAGAGAAAAATATACGTTTTTCAGACACCTATTGACAGTAATGCGTATTCACTGGAGACTCGGGAACACGCACATACGACAGTGCGCAAGATGCAGCGCAGGAGCTGAGGAGGAAGAGGTGATCTCCTGGATGATACCAGACCGCAACGCTTCGGAGCTGTACCCGGAGATGGAGCGTCTCCCACCAGACAAGACATGGCCAGCGCGTCGGAGAGAGTTAGTGCAGGTGGGGGACGAGACCGCGAAGCAGAGTAAGGAAGAGGCTACAAGAGTATGAGCGGATCCTCCCGGGACTAACTGATTCATATTATATATTCACTGTATATATTTGTCACGACGTTCATTTGGATTATATAAATGCTATCAGATGCTGTTGGGACTACTAGGATGCGTGAGACTGCGTGTTTCACCTCTAGTGAGGGGGCCCTTCAGGAGGAGGCTCTCCCCTCTACCTGCCAACGGGGACTTAGGTGTGGCGAGGAATCACCCTACCTTGGAAGTCTACGTTTTACTTTTTACGTTCTACGTTCCACTACATGTGGGCCAGATGTTCAGGTCTGTGTAGTTTTCAGTTGTCTGGAGTTTTGTGAATGCAAAGGATTGGGTAATTTAAATGCCGTACAATAATATAAAAGTGGTGTCACTAATGTAAATGGGATGAATAATCCAGTTAAAAAAGGAGCAAGGTCCTGGCTAAATTGAAAAAAAGAAAAGGCCCAAGTACTATTTTTACAAGAAACTCATCTGCCTCAACAGGAGCATGAAAAATTAAAACGCTTTGGTTTTAAAAAATACGTTCTATAGTTCTTACAAACCTAGCCAGAAGAGGGGAGTGGCTATCCTTATTTCAAATGCAGTTCAATTTGAACTCCATAAAGAAGTTAGGGACAAAGAGGGACGATATATATTAGTGAAAGGGAAAGCTTGAAAATGCAGTGGTGACATTGGTCAATGTATATGCCCCCCCAGAGAGTAACAAATCTATTTTTAAAAAATCTGTTTGACGTCATTGCATAGAGACTGAGGGTATTTTGATATGTGGGAGGGGATTTTAATGTGGTCCTGAATCATACCATAGACCTACTACAAGTCACAAAAATAGCAAGAAGCCACCTGACCAAGTTTGTAATGCCGGTCAGTGCAGGAAAGGGACTAATTGATATTTGGAGGGAACTTCACACCCCTAGAACGGGATTATACACACTATTCAGTGCCCCATTCGTGTACTCCAGAATTGACTACTTTTTAATAAATACGGGTGAAAGTCACAGGATCACGAGAGTAAATCGGGGGTGGCAGATGTTTCGGATCATAATATGATTAGCTTGTCAATAAATCTGAACAGTAGACAAAAGAATAACAGTGTGGAGGCTCAATGTGGGTGTTTTGAATGATAAGGCGAACCGTGGAACAGTAAGGGAAGAGATACAAATATATATAGAGGAGAATGATAATGGGGATGTGGACCCTGGGATACTGTGGGA